TATAAAACTAGGACATATAGTTTTTGCTCTAGACTGGGTACCAGTCCCCATCCCAGCCCCTTGAAGTAATATAATCGTGTCTTCGGGAACTGAAAGACATTGAAAATCCAAAGAAAGTATATTTTTTGTTTAATTTTATTTGAAGTAGTTTTCGAGAAAAATCCAGTCTTAGGACTTTTGAATGAACCCATTAATTTAATACTAATACAAAATATATTTTTATATAGCATTCAAATTTGAAAAGAGTTATTCTTTTCAGTACTAATGCTTTTCATGAGATCTGTATTTTGTGCCATTTCTCTGTCAATTATGGCCAATGAATGTAACTTTAAATATATTGCGCTCACAATTAAAGCCATGAAAACAATACCGTTAAGCCATACGAGGATTTGTATGAATGATAGCTTCACACTATGAAATGATTGATAGATTGTACAGTAAATGCATGTTAAGTGTAATTATGTGTAATAATTGACACAAACGTGTGTTGGGACGAGAATTGTTCAAAAGAGCAACAGTGGTGGCTGTATGTGAAGTCTTCTGAAGAGTTGGACACTAGATCTCCGGACACGACATCTTCATTGACATTATTATAACAACAAAATAAAGTCTCTCTATTGAGACACTTCTCTACCGTTATTTGTTTGGATTCATGTCTGCAACGGACGAACTCTGGTTTCCAAACCCTTTCCCACACCGATTCCGATGCTGTCGTCACGTCTGTACTCAACCCAAGAATGCCATTCAAAAGGTTGTCAACAAAAGTGCAATACTTACTAATGAGGAATAATAAGCATATGAGTCCATAGCAAACAAGAACTTTAGCTGAACAAGATATTTGAATTATTTTATTCATTTTAGAAAGCTACAATTACATGTATATAAATGTATTAGATACAGCAGTAGAAATAATTGAAAACTAAATAATGTTTGTTATATTGGATACAAATGAGATTGATTGTAAGAATTGTATTTAAAAATTCGTGACTCAATAATACCGGTAAATAAAACTGAATGTGAATTAATGTTATCAACAAATTTAGGTGAAGAGATCGTCAAATAATGAAACAATTATAATTATACTGTACTTTTGTAATGACATTATGGCTATAAAATATTGCAAATTAAAATAAATGTCTGTAAATTAGTTGATTAGTTGAACAGTTAATGAATGGTCTAAAGAGTCGGTCGATTTGTTTTGTGTGTTGAATGAGTGGATTCAGAAGACGACAACTTTTCAGTGCTGTCGCCAACATCTGAATCACCAGAACCGGTCCTTAAGGGCCGAAGATGTGCACCAAATTGATGTCCACCATTCATAGACATGAAACCATCGTTGATAACGCCATACCCAAAACCATAGGAAGGAATGCCTGCACTAAGACTGGCTCTTAGATTGTTGATCATATTGAAGGTGTGGGGCATTAGATGACTGAGCATTTGGTGCGGAGAATGAATATTCTGAAACTTATTGTAAGGACTGTTGTGAAAGCCCTCAAATCCCATCCCATTTTGGCCGTAATTCAATTGATTGGGAAAACCTCCGATTGGGATCAATCTCTTGGTTCCTGGATTTGGGGGACGTGTGTCTCCATTAAAGTTGGGACTACTGTATGGGTTTGGTCTCAAATAATTGTTTTCATATTTCATGTCAAACGGACTGAGAGGAAGAAAATTGCCATTCATTGGGCTGTCGTTGAGACCAAATGGCGGACCATTGAGTCCTTCGCTGTTCGGGCGTCTCATATATGGTTGGCTTTGAAATGAAGGCAATTGTGAGTGAATTTGATTGGCAAATGACCACAACTACAGATGTGACAAACAATTATAATAGTTATATCTAGAAAATGAGAAATCTCTGATAACTTACTAAAAATAGTGATAAAAAGTGATAATTAACTGAAAACATTTTGTAAATGTTCACAACGAATGTATCGCACAAACTGTTGAAAAACTAAATTAAATTTCACTGAAAGATGAATGACATGAAGTGAAATGGTTTTGGTTAAGCATTCAAACGGTTATAAATTAGTTGTTAGTTATAAATCAATAGTTGATTGAAGTATAAGTGCAAAACGCGAAGTCATCTTCCGCTTCATTTTATTGACTCAAATAACAAAAGTTTTACAATTTTATTGTATTTATTTTAATGTAAATATTAATCGATTAAATACATCATCAAATGCGAGACTACTGTACAGTATTTTAGAATTACTCGAATCACGAATAGAAACAGTAATAGAGGTTTCAAAGCAAATAAGTTTTGGTCTTTAGTTTATTTGAACAAAACGGAATGACTATTAAATTTATTAAAAAGCAAATAAAACATTAAAAATTTATTTGATTTCCAAAGAAACTACTAAAAGACTTGTTATAACTTACTGTAATCATAAGTCTCTGAAAATTTGGAAAAACATAATTATGGATCAAATGAGCGCAATATTATATTACCATACATTTGGAAGCATTTCATTTAAAGGGAAATATTGGGTTTGTTTTTATAAATAATTCTTATTTGAGACAAAATTTTAAACAACTTTTGAAATAAACTTTTGTCCAAAAATGCAATTGTATTGTAAATAAGTATCGGTTTTAAGAGAATTTAAATTAAATGATAGCAATATTAGAAATAATTACAAAATTTCAAAATCAATTCTTGAATTTAGTTATCCTTGGGTTTTGGCTCCGAATAGATTGCTTCTGAATTTGGCTCCGATTCGTCGTTTTCTGCCGTTTGAAGGTATTTGGCGTCCGGAACCCAAAGGCCAGAGTCGACGCACCTCTTCATGTGATAGCGCGCGTCCTTCTCATCCAATTGGCCGATAGTCTCCTGTAGGAGCGCCACATCGCGCGACTCGAAGCACTTCTGAAGACTTTCTGGCAATGAATTGAACACTTCTTCGGGGTCGAGACCTCCCGGTCCGATGCGCTTCTGGCGCTCTTCCTCCTCGACCTCTTTCATGGCCTGTTCTATGCGTTTGCGGGCCCTCTCGCGGATCCTCTCCTTAAAAGAGGACAACTCGTCCTGAAAGGCCTCTTTGTATTCTTTGTCCGCTTTGTCGATACGCGCGAAGAACGCAGAGACACATCCGCGTGGGTCGACATCCAACTGCTTCGACAGCTCCAGTATGTACTGCATGGACACCACCTGTTTGGCCACAAATTCCATCAATTCGTGCTTTTCCTCGATCTCGAGGTTCAGACACCAGAGCGCCAGATAGTTAGCCGTCTCTTCACACACTATATCGTCAAACAAACAGTTCTTATACTAAACGGTCGACTCAGACACACCCAGTGGACAGACCTAACTCCTGATTAGCCATCAGGTACTGCTTGCAGTCGTCTGCTTTGGACAGAAGGCCGAAGTGTTTGATTTTGGACTCATTCTTAGAGACGAACTCTTTGTATATCTTCTCCAACTCCTCGTCACTCAACTGACTTCTGTCTGCTTTGGGCACCGGTTTGTTGATAACAGTCTTACTCCAGCCCTCCTTCGAGATGGTGTCCACATTCCAGGGCAGTGTCTTCTCCTTCTTCTCCAACTCCAACTCCTTGTCCTCCAACTCCTTCTTCTCGGACTCCAGTTTCTTGAGCTTCTCTCGAGCCTCATTGTCGTCACTCGCTTTGGCCTTAAGTGACACCTCTTTCAGCTGCTTCTCCGTCTCCTTCATCTGGTCTCTCAGCTCCTGTCGACTCTTCTGCATCTCATCCATGCGCTCCACTCTCGCCTGATGTCTCCATCTGAACAAAGAGGCCGTATCTATGTTGGGATGCGTGTCGTCCTCGTCATCACTGATCTGTTGGACAACATATCCACACAAAGACACTCATCAGACACTCGACTCTTATCTCGCAAACACATCAATACCTCAATTGACTTCCATTTGCTGTAATCAACCATTTCTTCGTCTCTTCGCACTACTTGTAAGCAGATGTGTGGACACGGATGACAATCACTGATCGATCACTCAAATGATAACTGATTTGCGAATCGTTTGTCAAATGAATTTGTAATCAAATAATAATCAAACGAATGGATATTTCGCGAGACTTTCGCAGTATTTATCGCAAAAACATATCATAAAAGAAAAGACGAGAATATCTCAGAGAAAACGCCTTTTTTAGGGATTTATTGCATCAACACTTGAAATGATTGCAATCACTCACAGCACTTCCAGTTGTGGTCATCATATGGTGGTCACTCATTATGACCACAACTGCCACATATATATCGCATCCAAAGTGTAGTTAATTTGCATTTCACTGTTAATTCAATTGAATTTAGAACAAAAATAAACTAAGTGATTATAAACTAAGTAAGTATTTATTGCACAGTAAGTTAATATTAACGCTAATGCTAAGTTTACTTTATCACAAACTAAACTATCATTAAGTCACTTACTAACCAAACAATTATAATTAGTGAATCATTGAATCAATGATTAGCCGATTGATGCTTATATTGAGAGCAAGTGTTTGATTCACACATTGATTGTCAGCTGTTCTCACATTTAGGGCTATTTTGGGCGCAAAACAGGGATTAATAATCACTTTATTTACGATCATTTGCACAAAAAGGACATTCATTTCACAGTTTATATGAAATCACATCTAAATTATCACTGAATTAAACAATCATTTAATTTAAAGTTAACCCAAAGTTTCGGATCAATTGCAGTGATGTCTCAGCCGGATGTGAGCCGACTATTGGCCACCGCAAAGGTATGACAATTTGCGTGACACTTGAATGACGGACCTATTGATGACACCCTCTTATGACACCCTCTTGTGTCCATTAGTATCGATACGCGGATCAGAGTAAACGAGACATAATGTCGGCCATCAATAACTACAAGAACTTGAGTCCAGTGGTGGAGAAGTACGTGTACTCGGATGGCAACCATCGGGACCTGATCTGTCTGACGGGCACAATCCCGGTGCCATATAAGGGCGCCGTATATAACATTCCGGTCAGCATATGGTTGACTGAATCGCATCCATACAACGCCCCCATCTGTTACGTCAAGCCCACCAGAGACATGACCATCAAAGTGTCCAAACACGTGGACACTGAGGGCCGCATATACCTGCCATACCTCAGCGACTGGAAGGCCAACACGTCCGACCTGTTGGGCGTGATTCAGGTGATGATCTGTGTGTTTGGAGAGACGCCTCCCGTCTACTCCAAGCCCAAGAACGCCCCGAACGCCGGCCCCACTCCTGATGCCTCTCAGCCGGTGGTCAACCCTTACAACCCTTCGGGTATTTACAGGATTTGTGTGTCAAATGAAATGCAATGCAATCTAAACGTTCCAAGCCCAAGAACGCCCCGAACGCCGGCCCCACTCCTGATGCCTCTCAGCCGGTGGTCAACCCTTACAACCCTTCGGGTATTTACAGGATTTGTGTGTCAAATGAAATGCAATGCAATCTAAACGTTAACTTTGTTTCTATTAAAACTGTTTCCAATCGATTGACTTAATTGTCTCATAGGAATACCACTTGTCTTTCAGAATGCAAACTGTAAGCCATTTATTGAGTGCTTCCCCGAAGACCCAGTTTTGCCCATAATTTTCATTTGCTTTTCATTTGGTTTCCAAACATTTTAGTCGTTTGTTGTTTCCATTAAATTAACACAATTTCATCGACAGGTTATCAACCGATGCCTCGAGTAAACAACCCATCGATGGTCGCCACCAATACTCCATACCCTACACCCCAATATCCGGGTCAATATCCTTACCCAACACCGGGCAACCCGACACAACCCTATATCCCCCCGATCTCCACGTCCAACCCATACCCCCCTTATACCCAATCCAACGCTTTCGAGACGCCTTATCCGCCACAATCGGTCACAACTACATCGCAGTTAAGTCCGGGAACGGGAACCATAGGCCTTTCAGGACGAGTTGTCCTCTTTTAAGGAGAGGATCCGCGAGAGGGCCCGCAAACGCATAGAACAGGCCATGAAAGAGGTCGAGGAGGAAGAGCGCCAGAAGCGCATCGGACCGGGAGGTCTGGACCCCGAAGAAGTGTTCAATTCATTGCCAGAAAGTCTTCAGAAGTGCTTCGAGTCGCGCGATGTGACGCTCCTGCAGGAGACTATCGGCCAATTGGATGAGAAGGACGCGCGCTATCACATGAAGAGGTGCGTCGACTCTGGCCTTTGGGTTCCGGACGCCAAATACCTTCAAACGGCAGAAAACGACGAATCGGAACCCAATTCAGAAGCAATCTATTCGGAGCCAAAACCCAAGGATAACTAAATTGAAGAATTGATTTTGAAATTTTGTAATTATTTCTAATATTGCTATCATTTAATTTAAATTCTCTTAAAACCGATACTTATTTACAATACAATTGCATTTTTGGGCAAAAGTTTATTTCAAAAGTTGTTTAAAATTTTGTCTCAAATAATAATTATTTATAAAAACAAACCCAATATTTCCCTTTAAATTAAATGCTTCCAAATGTATGGTAATATAATATTGCGCTCATTTGATCCTTAATTATGTTTTTTCCAAATTTTCAGAGACTTATGATTACAGTAAAGTTATAACAAGTCTTTTAGTAGTTTCTTTGGAAATCAAATAAATTTTTAATGTTTTGTTTGCTTTTTAATAAATTTAATAGTCATTCCGTTTTGTTCAAATAAACTAAAGACCAAAACTTATTTGCTTTGAAACCTCTATTACTGTTTCTATTCGTGATTCGAGTAATTCTAAAATACTGTACA